ACAGTGGCAGCTCATGGACCCACATGGGATTTAGGAATCTTTGTCCAAGCTCTTTGCAGGCACGAGAGGCCACATTAAACACTTGGAGGAGGCACTTGGGATCTACTTGAGTGGCTCTCAGTGAGCTCTGACCTGCAGGGACGGAGTGAAGAGAGGGAAGGCATCCAAACCCTGGATCTGAATCCCTGATTTCACAGACATGGTTGTCTTTCTATGGAGCTGCTGTTAATCCACGCTCTGAAGCGCTTCATCTTCTCCAGCTGACAGTCAGAACTGGATTCCTCCCAAAATCCAAGCAGCACTTGGGTTGTGAACAGCACCGGGCAATGTTTTGCCTCATTTTTTGTTGCCCGGAGAGAGACTGCGGATTCACCATCCCTGGAAGCGCCCAAGGCCAGGTTGGACGGGGCTTGGAGCAACCTGGGCAAGTGGAAGGTGTCCCTACCCGTGGCAGGGGGGTGGAACAAGATGATGTTTAAAATCCCTCCCAACCTAAACCATTCCATGACTTTTTAAGCACCACACTCACACCCCCAGGTTGATATTTGCTGCCAGTGAGGGAAAAGACACACCAACCTCACTGTGACACTGCTCAGAGGTGACACAGACACCAACATCTGTCGGCAGGAAGAGCAAATACCACCTTCAAACCAGCACAGCTGAAACTCCAGCCTGTTCAAACTCTGCATCGACCCCTTGGAGCTCACACCAGATTCCCACCTATTAAATATCGAGTTCGACGCCGCATCCGAGCGACGCCAATAAAATAAAACTCCTGCTTCGCCTCCATCTCTGCGAGAGGATATTTTGGCTGCCCCAACAACTTGATCCACTAATGGCTTTTGGATGGGTTATTCTTGGCCCCCTCACCGTGCTCGCCCTGGAAGCCCCATCCCAAGTGACCTCCCCGCACATGCCCGGCATATTTCAGCCATTAAACGAGATAATAAACCCCCCAGACCGGATATCAGCAAGTGTTAATAAGATGTAATTCGTTCCTGGCAAGCCCAGGACTCAGATCCTTATTAAAAAAAAAAAAAAAAAAAAAAAAAAACTGAAACTGCACCAACAAAACCAAAACACACACGCAGGTTCACGGGGCCAAAGTCCAGCAGGAGTTCAAGTGCGCGGGGCCACTTTCATCCGCGTAATTAAGAACAAGATCTGGAACGCGGCGAATTCCCCCGGAACCAAAGGTAATAAAACTCAGATTTATAAAAAAAAAAAAAAAACAAAACAAAACAGGAGGGAAGGAGCTCATCGGTTGTACAGTGAGGCTCTAGGGTTTCTCCACGTGCTGCGAGATCCCTCCAGTCCGGCTGACCCCGGGAATGTCTCACTTGACTTCATCCTGCCACGGGCTTCCTCTCCAAGGAGAGCTCCCCCCATCCAGCTCCCCCCATCCAGCTCTTCCTATTCAGCTCCCTCTCATCCAGCTCTCCCCATCCAGCTCTCCCCCTTCAGCTCCCCCTCATCCAGCTGTCCCCATCTAGTGCTTCCTATCCAGCTCCCCCCCATCCAGCTCCCTCTATCCAGCTCTTCCTATCCTGCTCCCCCTTATCCTGCTCTCCCCATCCAGCTCCCTCCATCCAACTTTTCCTATCTAGCTCCCCCTCATCCAGCTCTCCCCATTCAGCTGTGCCCCTCCAGCTTCCCCTCATCCAGCTCTCCCCAATCCACCTATCTCCCATCCCATCCAGCTCCCCCCATCCAGCTCCCCTCATTCAGATCCCCTCATCCAGCTCCCCCACATCCCCCCCCCCCCATCCCATTCCCCCCATCCCACTCCCCCTCATCCCATTCCCTCCATCCCGCTCCCCCTCATCCCATTCCCTCCATCCAGCTCCCCCCATCCACCTCTCCCCCATCCAGTTCCCCCCAGTCCTTGACTCCCGGCCAGAAACAGCGACGGCTCCGAGCGCTCCAAGACAGATCCTTCTGATTATCACAAAATGAAATTTTCAGCTCTTGTCATCGTCGGCCTCAGATTTGTAATGTTACAAAAACACCATTTCCTCTCCCCATTGTATCAAGGCCTCTTCCATTCCCGCTGGTGAAATCAAACAATTTTAAAAGAATTTATATGATGCTAATTTAAACCGAATGGATGGAGCTGCCAATCGCAGTTCCCCTGACTCTCCAGGCCTCCTGCCAGCTCGGCTCCCGTTCCAGGGCCGTTATCCATCACAACCAGCAGACCGAGGAAAAGGACCCGGCGACGCAAGACGCGATCCCGGCGATCCTGGGAGGGGAGACCCTGCCCCTGGCTGTCGGCACGGCCACGGGAAGTGACCCCACGCAACCAGAGGCTCCAAAACCTTCAGCTCTCACTTCTCCATCCGTGGGGCAGCTCGGGGTGGTTTCTGTCCAGGAATAAACCTGCTCAAATTCCAGTATCGCTCCAAGTCGGCTTGTGGAAGTGGAAGTGGTCAGTTGAGTTTCATCCACAATCCAGCCACGGAGTCCAAGTTGGGAGACAACTCTGCTCCCACAAAGGGTGAAGGAAACCCCTTGTCAAGACTGCAAATCCCTCTCATAAACCAACAGAAAAGAGGGATTTGGGGGAGACTGAAAATGTAAAATTCCCTGTGTCATCTGTAGGCAAATTAAAGACAAAGGGCTGGAGAGGGACTTGGGACAAGGGATGGAGGGACAGGACAAGGGGAATGGCTTCAGACAGAGGGCAGGGATAGATGGGATATTGGGAAGGAATTCCTGGCTGGGAGGGTGGGGAGGCCCTGGCACAGGTTGCCCAGAGAAGTTGTGGCTGCCCCTGAATCCCTGGAAGTGTCCAAGGCCAGGTTGGAGCAACCTGGGATAGTGGAAGGTGTCCCTGCCCATGGCAGGGGGTGGAACTGGATGGGCTTTAAGTTCCCTTCCAACCCAAACCATTCCATGATTCCCTGAAAACCATGCACGAGTTGTCCCACAGGTCTATCAGCCACAGGATGAAGAACCAACTTTCCCTCCCCTTTATTTCCAGCTGGTTTCAGTCCCTGCTCCCAGTTCCTGTATCTGGGCAGAGCAGGAGCAGCCACTTCCCACCAAATCGCCCAGTGCCTCTCCTGGTTTGCAGGAGGCAAACGTGAGGAGGAGGAAGGGTCAGAAGAGGTGAGGAAAACACCAGGACAACCCACAAGATTCCTTTGGAGCAAGAGATGGAGAATCAACAGAGCTCCAGGCAGAGCGTGAGCTGTCCCCTGGAGCAGGAGGGACGGGAAGAACGAGAAGAAGCGGATCATGGATGCGGAAGAGATGGAAACACAAAGCTACAGAAGCAACTCTGGGCAGAAGAAACCAAAAAAAGGCATTGGGAATTATGGAATCTTTTTTTTTTAAATTGGTCCCCTGAATAGCCATATAAACACGGGTGGACTTGAAGATCTCACCCATCAAAGCCACCAGGGGCCAGGAGGTTGAAATGTCTCTCCCAGAACCATGAGCATGAAATGGGAAACTAGAAGACAACACAACATCTGCACCCTTACATGTGTCTAAAATTACTAAATATCCTTAAGAGAACTTAAATGTATTTATTTATTTAAAGAGTATATTTGCTGTGTTGACTGATCATCAAACAAATGAATCTCCTATTCCTTCCCAGCCAGCAATCATAGAATCATTTATGTTGGGAAAGACCTCCAAGATCATCAAACCCAACCGAGATCATCAAACCCAACCGAGATCATCAAACCCAACCGAGATCATCAAACCCAACCGAGATCATCAAACCCAGCCGAGATCATCAAACCCAACCAAGATCATCAAACCCAACCGAGATCACCGAAACCAACCAAGATCACTGAACCAAGAACCTTCCAAAAACGCTCTGCCTGCCACAAAATGAACAAAAACAGAGCAGTTTTATAAACAATTCTGGGTAAATCCAACACCTGGAGCCCCCCAGCCACTTGTGGAACACTTGTGGCTCCACCAAACCACATCCAGGTCATGGTGTGTTTTTCTGCACGTTCAGAAAGACGGGTTTGGTTTGAATAAAAAGGTTTGCTGAAAGTCTCAGATGCCAAGTGGCATCTCCCCACACCTCTATGACACAATATAAGGCTTGGTTTGCTTTCCCAAAATACCAGAAAGCAGCTGAGAAGACAACAAGGCATGGGGAAAACGGGAAATTAAATCAATTAATAGAAATCCTCCAGGATGGGGTTTATAAGACAGAAAATTGAACCTCTAACCATAAACAGCACCACCTTATCATCTCGTGAAAAATTATGGCAAGAGTCCTTCCCATAAATCAACACATCCCAGCCATCCATCACTATCAGAGGAAGTGTTTTACTGCTCATACGAGGTAACATTTCACTGCCAGCGGATTTGAATTTCATCAAAGCAGCAAAGTTCTTTTTAAGAGCCACTGGGAGCTTTGCTCTCTCGCTGTGACAAGATAAACTGTGCTGAAACTCAAATCTAGAATATTAAATAGGAGTGGGAAGAGGCAATTCTGATTTAACATCCACACGGGGATGTTCAATTCATCAGGTTCATCTTTTACGGGCACCAAGCGCTGGGCAAAGGCAATCCAGCCCCAATCCAAGTTTACCCAGCGTTTAAAAATCAGTTTAAGATGCAAAATAAATTAAATTCAGTGCTTAAACTCCTACTGCTTTACTCCAAACTGGGAAATCAGCACTGGTGTCTCCAGCTCTTCCAGTTCCAACCAGGCACAGCAGAACAAATGCTAAGTGGAAAATATGAGTTTCAAACACCAACTGCACCTCCCAGATTCCAGGTTACTAAGAACCTACAGCAAAATCCAGGTGGGAGAAGACAACGAGGAAACTGGATCATCCCTTTGCAACAGCACAAAAAACTCAGGATAAAAAAAATCCAGGAGCAACCACAGAAGGAAGAACCACGGCAAAATGACTCCAAAATTCAATTTACTGCCTTGGGAGCGGAAAAGCAGAACTTTGAGATGACTGAACCACCATCCCCCTCCCAAAAAGCCCCTGGAGTGTGTGCACACAAACCAGCCCTACCTGTTTCATGGCCGTCTCTCCAATCTTGTCCGAATGCTTCCGGATGCTCTCCAGGAAATCCTTGAGGTCTGACATGGACACCTCCTTGATCTCCTCCCGCAGCTTTGGGATGTTATCCACCATGATCTTGCAGAAGCGGTAGTGGCTCACCTGGGGCAGGTACGTGTGCTCCAGGTGCTCCAGGGTCTTCAGGGCAGGGTAGTGCCTGGGGAGAGCAAGGAAGGGATGTGTGGAGCCACTTCCACCCCACTTTCCCTCAAAAAAGGTGCATTAACTTAAATTAGTTAATATAACTAAGAATTCCAGCTCTGGAACCACAGAATCATGGCATGCTTTGGGTTGGAATGGATCTTAAAGATGATCCAGTTCCAACCCCTGCCATGGGCTGGGACACATTCCAGGTGCTCCAGGGTCTTCAGGGCAGGGTAGTGCCTGAGGAGAGCAAGGAAGGGATGTGTGGAGCCACTTCCATCCTGTTTCCCCCCCAAAAAAGGTGCATTAACTTAAATTAGTTAATATAACTAAGAATTCCAGCTCTGGAACCACAGAATCATGGCATGCTTTGGATTGGAATGGATCTTAAAGATGATCCAGTTCCAACCCCTGCCATGGGCTGGGACACATTCCAGGTGCTCCAGGGTCTTCAGGGCAGGGTAGTGCCTGAGGAGAACAAGGAAGGGACATGGGGAGCCACTTCCATCCTGTTTCCCCCCCAAAAAAGGTGCATTAACTTAAATAAGTCAATATAACTCAGAATTTTTGGAACCACAGAATCAGGGCATGGTTTGGGTTGGAAGGGACCTTAAAGATGATCCAGCTCCAACCTCTGCCATGGGCAGAGACATCTCCCACTAGCCCAGGTTGGCAACCCCCGACAGCGAGGTGACAAAATCATGGAGATGGGAATATCCCATAAAATCCTATAGACTGATAACCCAGTGTCCAACACATCCATATCCAACAGATCTGGACCAACACAGACACTTGTCGTGGGGTTGGGAAGACCAATGGGAATCCACATGAGAGCTCAGCTCTTTCCCTCTGGATACCAGGGGTCTGATCCCACCTTCCTCCCAACCATTCTAATCCTCCTAAACACCATTAAAAGTATTTCCACCCAAGGTATTTTTTATTTAGATAGAGAAGGGCAGGCAAATATGGATCCAAATCCCACATCAGGTGTTCAACAGGTATATTTTCCACCACGCTCCTGCCTCTCCAGGAATTGCTGTTGTACCACTGGGTGTGTGACCTTCACAATGTTCAAAATAACTCATTTCCCTTCTTTAAAATGAGTGTAACTTATAAATTTAGGAATGTAAGATTCCCAATGTTTCTTTCCCTGAATTCCTTTGTATTTCAATCATGCCCAACGGCCTTAAATTTTACCCTCCCTTTCTGCAGAAAAGCAAATTTCAGAGCCTGACACGTGATGCTAAATGGAAAATTTGCCTGAGAAATTAATTTTTCTCAAATTCCCACCCATCTGTTCCACTTTGGAAAGTGGGAATCCACAGGATTTTCCTTTTTACTGGAATATGGAACCGCCCTGAATGGAGATATAAGATTCAAGGTCCTCCTCCTGTTCTGACCAAAAATCTGATCAAAGGCAACACAAAATGACCAGGGAACCATTTAGGAAGCATCAACAAGTGGAAAATAAATATAAAATACATAAAATATATTTAAGACCAGCCCCAAGTCAGCCACCTCAAGGGTGAAATAAGGCAATTTTAGCTGATTCCACCCAGAGTGAATCCTGTTCACCAGAACCCACCACTCACACCTTGAATTTTGGGGGGAGAAACAGTGTTCAGCCAGAAGAAACAGATTGGCACCAGTGAAAACAACCTGCCACTCAAATTCCCACCCAAAATAATTCCTGCTTGAACCCCAGGCAGCTCCACAAGGGAGTTATTCCAACCAGAGTGGCCCGTCCTGCTCCCAAAAGCAGAAGTCAAACGGATTAACCCCATAACCCAACTGGTGTTTACACTGGGAAAGGAGTGAAAAACCACTTGAACTAAAAATCAAAACTCTCTGGAGAGAAATTTGGGAGTGCAGGGAAAGCCAGGAATTCATCCAGAGGAATAAACACACGTTGGGGTGGGTTTTATATATTTTAGGGCGTTGTTTGGGCCCAGGTCACATCCCCTGACACCTCTGAGCAGCCTCCCAGAGGGGGACATTTCTTTCCCAGCTCTGAATCCCAGGAGCACTCCCCGAGTGGGGGGAGCAGGATTTTGATAAACAGGGTCAGAGGTGGCTTTTTGTTTGTGTTTTTTTTTTTCCTGGAAAGACCCAGGCTCTGCTTGAGAGAACAGCTCTGCAGGGGTTTCTCAGCTCCAAGCAGGATGAAGAGCTCCCATGGAATCCATGAACGTTCTCATGAAGCATCTCAAGCCCACAAGGAAGCCAGAGAGGGAATCTGCACCAGGAACTGTAGAGATAGGACAAGGGGGAATGGTTTCCCAACAGAAAAATGGAGATTTAAACAGGATATTGGGAAGAAATCCCTGGCTGGGAGGCCAAGGGTTGGGCAGAGAAGCTGTGGCTTCCCCTGGATCCCTGGAAGTGTCCAAGGCCAGGCTGGATGGAGCTTGGAGCAACCTGGGATAATGGAACATGTCCCTGCCCATGGCAGGGGGTTGGATTATCTTTAAGGTTGGATTATCTTTAAGGTTCCTTCCAACCCAAACCATTCTGGGATTTTATGATTCTCTTTCTTACTGTTGGAGACCACATGGACACGAGAAGTGGCCCAGGAGGAAATAAAACAGACTTGATCCCTCCAAAGTCCTGCAGAGCCAGGAGGGAAATCTCTGGAGACAGAGATTTTGGGTTTTCCCATCCTTTTCCACACGTGTCTCAGCCGTGGGAGAAAAGCTCTTTCTGTCCCTTCCTTAAATTCTGGACAATGGGGGAAGAAAACCTTTCCCTCCATTTCTTCTGCTGGTTCCTGTCACTCCTCTGGGATCAGATCATTCTTCATTCTCCACCTCCAGCTCGTGGCCACAGGTTTTGGTTTAAAAACATCACCCAACTCATTCTGTTTGCCCTGGGAGAATGAAACTTGGGAGGGTTTATTAACCCCAAATACAAACCCTATGAGTCCTCCAAGACTGTGCACCCAAAACCCAACCCCTTGGTGCCCATCCTGAAGTGATTTATAAGTGACACTGGGTGCAGAAATAAAAATACTTCACATGCTGTGCTGCATTTGGTGGATGAAGCCACCAAATCCAGACAAAGAAAGAAGGGGGGAAAAAAAACAGCCCAGGGTTCAGATATTCCTTAAATGTGGCTTTCAGCTTCTATTTGTTTCAAAATGAACCAACACCAAAAAAAAAAAAGAATGGAATTCTTAGAAGCAGATCTTGGAAACACTCTCCAGAGCAGGGAATGGGGCAGCATGTGGATTCCCTGCAGGAGTTCCCAGGGTTGTGCTCAGCTCCAGCTCCCACCCCACGTCTGTCAGCGGAGAAGCCCCTCTCTGTTCCTATAAACACACTACAAACACTTGGCCAAACTCCCCCCTGCCCTGCCCTGAGCCATCCTGAGGGACAGAGAGGAGCTTGGGGAACAGCTCTGGGAGCTCCTAAAGCTCCTCCAAGCAGCCCAACTTCCATGAGTTCCACTGATCTGTTTGCCCGAGGACCCCGGGGGGGAGCAGAGGCGGGAGGGGAGGTGTAAAAACAACCCCCTCATCCCATTAGTTATCGCCTTGTTCCAAACATCTGGCTCCTTCTGTGCTGTTCCCATGATGGATGGCAGGCACCAGCCAGGGATCCCACTGCTCTCCCTGCCTGGCATCCAGCTGGAGCCACGTTTCCAGCCTCCCTCCTTCCAGCAGCTGCTCTTTGCCCAATTTGCCACCCCCAGGGCTCCCGAGTCGCTCCGTGCCGCTTAAACAAACCATCCCCCAGGATTCCAGCAAATATCCCAGGCCGGGGTTTAATCCTTCATGCAACAGATGCAGGGTGGGGAAAATCCTGGATTTACAGCTCATGGTTTCAGAGACACCAAGCCCCTGGAGCTCAGTTCACTCTCCTGAAGAGTTATTTCTACTGCAAAATAAGATTTCTCCCCAACTTCCACCGTCCTGATGCTTCCAGGTGTTTGGCTTCCACCCACGTTCATTGGAATCTCTCAGGTTATATTAGAATTGTCATATATTAGATTATGCATCATGGCATTCACAGAATAAAATTTAGTTGATAACATGCATTGATTGCATGCACAACAACAGGGAGCTTCCACAAAAAAACAAGGAATATCCACTTCATTCCAAAACCTAACACAAAACAAAATCCGAGCCATCCCAATTCCCGGAGGATGAGCAGAAGAACCAGCCAAAAAATCAGAGGAGTCAACCTGGAAAGGCTGATTTTGGAAGCTCTGGGAACCTCTTGAATTTACTCAGCCCCAAAACGACTGTTTGGATAATAATAAAACACCCATAAACCGACACAAGATTTACCTCTTGGATTTCATCTGCTCCCGCAGTTTGCTGTACATCTCCAGCACTGGAAAGAGAAGGAAAACAACAGAAGCCTTGAGCACAAAGCAAAGAGCTTGGGAATTCAAACAAACACAAGGCAGGAGCAACTGGAGATTCCTCACCGGGAAGACACAGCGTGAGTTTATCGACCGTCGCCGAAATGTTCCTCTGCTGCAACCGGCACTGCTTCAGCTCTTCCATGGCAATTATCAGCTTCAGGAAGGGGGAAAAAAATCCCATTGAACACCATAAACACTTGCCATGACCACCCAAACTGTGGGGTGACCACAAAGCCTGCTCTGATAACCAGGGAGCCCAGGGAGCTGCTGGAAGAGGGAGCACAGGCAGCTCCGGGTTCTTCCAGCAGAAACGTTCCCTGAATTTCAACTCGGGAAGCAGCAAAACCAAAGCCATCGGCACACCAGCCTGGGAGCACGTCCTGGGAATTCCAATAGAGTTGTTTCCCCCTTCCCATTTTAGTCATCTCTTCCCTGCTCCCTTCTCCAAGTGGCTCTTTTCGGGTTCTCAAAGCCAGGATGTGGCTGCTCGTTCCCAAGGGGATTCTTCCCGAACTAACAGGGATTTTTAAAGGCTCAGCCTCCAACAGAAAAACCTGGGTGAAACAAGGATTCAAGGCCAGGTTGGAGTGGGCTTGGAGCAACCTGGGATAGTGGAGATGGTCTTTGTGGTCCCTTCCAACCCCAACCATTCCATGATTCCATGAATGGATCACTTACTTCTTTCCCCTCGTTCTGCAGCTTCCGGTTGGTGTCCGTCACTTGGTTCTGCAGGAATATTGGGGAGAAAAGACAAAGCCCATCAATAAATCAGGACAACGGTTTTCCCATAAAACCAAACTGCACATAAACACCATCACTCCTCACTCAACCTCCTATTCCATGGAAAAAAGCTGTTCAGTGGCTCATTTCACACGGGATGCCAAGAGCCACGCAGTAAATACAAGGATTTCCCTCCCTGCCACTGGAGAGGAGTAAAAAGCAACAGGAGTTAAAACTGTGGCATGGAAGCCACAAAATCCTGCAGTTTTCATGGATCCAACTTTCTACCAGATGCTCACATGGATTCTCATCTTAAAAGCCAGTGGAGGAATTAAATGCCCTTCCCAACACCAAATAAATTACAGTTAGGTTTTAATTCCTTGATATCACAGTGAGAAAGAACTTTTCAACATGGGCTTTACCTATAAATAATTATTTATATTTATGCAAACACCTAGAAAACTTCCTTTTAGATCTTCAGATGCATCTTCCACTGGTTCCCTTCTCCTGCCTGGTAGAAAAAGGTATTTTTATATACCTGGGATAAAAAAGGGCTGTATTTCCTTCCCTAAACCCTCTTCCTGTATTATCCCATCAAGCTGGGACTCATAGTTGAAAAAATTCCCACTTGGCAAACCTGTAGTTCCCTGGACTAGGAAGAGTCCACCAGTCCAGCCCTTCCCAGCCCCGGGCATGAGATGACTCAGTGAAGACCCACCAGAGAACAAAGTGGATTTTTGGACTCATCAGGATGGAGAATTAGCAGTTCACCCATTATTTGGCCAACAAGTAGGAAAACTACTTTGGGAATTCTCCTGAACACCCATCCAAGTCCAGACAAGAGCAGGTTTGTAAACAGAGACCCCATCTGCTAAAAAAACTACACCAGCTTCCAAGCAAACATGCCCAGCTCCAGGTCTCCAGCAAAAGTAGCCAATTCCCAAGGTAAATCCAGCAGGACCGCTCAGGATTCAGGTGCCTCGCATCAGTCTAAGACTAACAAGCCATAAAACTACTTCTTTTTCCACAGAATATTCCTTTCACAGCCACTGAAGTTGTAAATATTCATTTCCAGGCTCGTCTCTGTCTCTCAAAGGTTCCTGGTTTTCCACAGACTCACCATAGGGTGGAAGTTGCTCCTGGATTTCTGTCAGAGCTCATTCCTGCGTGTTTTCAGGAGTTCTGCTCATTCCAGAAGCAGAACCTTTGTCAGAGTTTGGACAAGAGCACCAACTGGGCCACGGAGCTCCCTGAGGATATTCGGGAGCGTGAGATCACAAAAACCAACCTGAGACCTTTGTTTCCTTTTCAACAATGATGGAAACATGCTGACTTTTTAAGGAATTTAACCCCAGTGAAGGAATGTCATGCAGTGATCTCCAACGATCCACCAGAACGTGGATGGATGCGGGAGCAGCAGCAACGGCAGAGCAAAGGAATATTATCAGGAATAGTGTGGAAAATTCCTTCCTGGAAAGGGTTGTCCAGCCCTGGCACAGCTGCCCAGGGCAGAGGTGGAGTCCCCATCCCTGGAAATGTCCAAAAAACACATGGATGTGGCCCTTGGGGACATGACTCAGTGGTGGACACGGTGGTGGTGTCGGGTTGATGGTTGGACTTGATGACCTCAAAGGTCTTTCCAACCTTGAAGACTCCACGATCTCCTTCCTTTTCGAGTGCACCACAAGGCAAACACAGTTCAGACAGGAGGGGAGCTTTCCATTAACATTCATAAATTTGATCCAGGATCCATTTTCTTCCCTGCTGGATCTCCCACACTGATCCAGCCTCCACCAGGTCATCTCCCACTGTGTTGCCTCAACGAGCAGAGCCGTCAAACCTCACAAGTTTCCTCTTATTTTAACACCGGCCACACCGGTTTTTAAGCCTCCCATGATGCAAGAAAGAGGAATCATCCCATGATTTCCCCACACACTTTCTCCACAGCATCTGCCTCACATCTCTCCCCCTCCTGCAGTAGCTTCAGCTCTCCTGGCTCTTTGCCCTCTGCCAAAACTGCTCATTTCCTTCATGATGTACCGAGATTTTTTACGAGCGGGAGCGCAGCATCTCTTCCAAAGATTACTTTATTTGCTTATATCCTGAAAAATCCCACCAGGAAAAAGGAATCCATGTAGGGTAATTTAAAACTGCTCCTAAAATAATGCCAAGGCTGTACTAGTGTTCTATTAAAATTACATATCAATCCCAGCTCCAGGGAAAAAAAAAGTCAGGAGACCGTCTGTCCTTGCACACTCCGAGTTTTTTCAGGGGGCAGCGAGTCGTGTTTTGGTTTGTTCTTAAAGTCTCCATGAAAAAAAAAAAAGAAAGATATGATTATTTATACAGACTCTCTGTAGCCAAGTGGAGGCTTTTCAGATGAGGAGATTTGATAATCTAAGGCAGACTCCCAGCGAGGGGGGACAGACAACAGGTGGGAACACGGGAAGGACGAGACGCCGGGATCATGTGAGGGGCTTACGGGACGCTCCAGTTGTTACTTCATCAATCTACTCATGGAACACGTGGCACAGAGAAGGGGTTGGGGGGTTTAACAACACTCTGAGATCAGTTAGAGAGTGTCAAAGTGAGGAGCAAGAGGAGTAAAGGGCTCTGGAGAGGAATCTTGGAATGGACTCAAAAACACCGGCGTTAACCCGCAGGGTTAACCTGCCAACTCCATCCCTGTCCTACACCCAACCTGCCACTGACTTCCACCTCCCAAAGGAAGAGAGAGCAACTACAGAGTGATCCTTCCAATTGGCAACTCATGAACTTCCCAGTCTGCGTTTGTTATCCACCACCTCAGCCCTTCTCCCCCCACTAACCCAATCACTATGGGAATCCAGTGCTGGGCTCTGAGGGCATCTCCACACCCTGGGGCAGTGAGATCCCTGCTTGGTTTTGCACAGGTGAAGGTGAGATTCCCTGAGCTCCAAGCCAGCTCCTCAGTTTAATCAGATCTGCCTTCATCTGGATGCACCAACCAATAAAAATTGCTCCCTTCTCATTTTCTCCCTCCCACAACTCAGAACTTCAAAGAATTCCAGAATGGGTCAGGCTGGGAGGGACCACAGCAGGTCAACTGGTCCAGCAGGGCCATCCCAGAGCACATGGCACAGGACTGTGTCCAGATGGGTCTGGAATATCTCCAGTGAGGAGACTCCACACCCCCTCTGATCTCTGTTCAGTGCTCACAGTTAAAGTTCTTCCTCACGTCCAGGTGGAACTTCCTGGGCATCAGTTCCTGCCCGTTCCTCCTGTGCCATTACTGGGCACCATGAGCAGAGCCTGGTCCATCCTCTGCCCCCTCCCTGCAGGCATTGCCAGACATGGATGAGGTCCCTTCAGTGTCTCCTCTGGAGGCTGAACAGCCCCAGCTCCCTCAGCCTTTCCTGCTCCCAGAGATGCTCCATCCCTTCATCATCTTTGTCCCCCTCCACTAAAAATATTCCTGAACCGTTTCCCCTCTGACCAAAAAAATCCCCAATCCCCATCAATTGCAAGGACTTCAAAGAAGGAAAGTGAAAATGAGATGGTTGAAAAGCACAACCCCCTGGGATGGATTTGGGGCTGCCTGGCTTTCAGAGGACAAGACCAGAGAAGAACATTCCCACAACCTGGAGAAGGCTGTGGGGGAACTTGTGACTCTGCAACTCCCTGACAGGAGGGGGGAGCTGGGGGGGGGTCAGGCTCTGCTCCCCAAAAAAATGCGACAAGACAAGGGGAAACAACCTCAAGTTGCACCAGAAGAGGTTTAAGTTGGATATTAGGGAAAATTTCTTCCTGGAAAGGGCTGCCCAGCCCTGGCACAGCTGCCCAGGGCAGTGGTGGATCCCCATCCCTGCAGGGATTTAAAATCCCTGTGGATGTGGTCCTTGGGGACAGGGGTCAGTGGTGGCCTTGGCAGTGCTGGAGGATGGTTGGACTGGATCTCAGAGGGCTTTTCCACCCTAAACAATCCTGTGATTCTACAAAACCAAGAAGGAATAATCCCTTTTTTATGCCTGACAAGTCAAAAAGCAGTAGACCAAAAAAAAAGACTTTTCATCCACGTGATCAGAGTTTCCCAGAGAAGGAAGAAGAGCAGTACCTGGGGGAAGGCCAACATTGGAGAGGTGGGATAAAAATCCATCAACAATGACACAGCTGAATCCCAGAATGGTTTAGGTTGGGATAGACCTTAAAGCCCATCTCATTCCAACCCCTGCTATGGGCAGGGACACCTTCCACTAGCACAGGTTGCTCCAACCTGGCCTGGGACACTACCAGGGATCCAGGAGCAGCCACAGCTTCTCTAGGAAACAAGAACAACTTGGATTGGATTGGGTGGATTAGGTGATTTCTCGGGGTTGCCACCAGCCTTGAGACCTTGGGATCCTTTGCACCTTGAGCCGTGGTTTCCAAGTCAAACCATCCTAATGTAAAACCCATCTCTGCCCTTTTAATTCCCACTGGATCCTTTATGGGATGGAACAGCCAGACTGGTCCGTGGTTTCCAAGACCCAGCAGTCCCACATATTTAAAGGACTGAGATCAGGTCACCACCATCCTGCTCACTCCCCAGTGAGGGAGAATGTGCAGTACAAGATGGGAAAACGTTAAAGATGTATAACAAAAAAAAATCCTAAAGCATCGAGATTTCCCTTGTAAGTAAAAGGAAAGCCAGGTAAGAAATTAAAAGAAAAGAGAATTGCCAGAGTGAGGCTACATAGTTTAAAAAAAAGAGTAAGAAAATGAAAAAAAAAAAAAAAAAAAAAAAAAAAGGTTTGGT